AAAGTTTCAAGTTACCAAAAAAATTATGGGAACTTTTTAAGTTAACACACCAAAAAATATGATTATCATTGGAAAGTTCATTTATATACTTTTATCTTAATTCCATATATCTAATTCACTTGTTCTTAATAATTATGTTTAGATTACTCATGAAAATTTTATGAGACATTAAACAGCTAACCATTATTTTAAATTATTTCTCTTGTTGACAAAGTCTGTAACAGAGATAATAAGCTTATTTGACTTTTAGTAAACCTAGGTAGAATAAATGTATTATTAATGCTGGTAATATGCTTTTTAAAATTAAGCTCACAAAGTTAAACCAGTTTAAAAAATATTTTTATTGAAAATTATCTTCAAATGAAATTGGAAAATATTTGGGTTAATTTCCATGTTTCTGAGAATAGGCTTGATTTATATAAATACTTATTTGTATATAAGCCAAGTAAATAGAGGTCTTACAAATTAATTTTGGCTATACCATCTGGAGGTAGAAAAAAAACACATGTTTATAACATACACACAGACGTATGTAAACATACAGACAAAAGCAGACAGATATAGCTTTTATTTTAGCCATGAGACAGCTCCAATAATGCAATACTCTTTTTTTTTTTTTTTTTTTTTTTGTAAAAGAACAGTTGGATCCAAATTGTGTTTCTGGCAGATGGGATAAGTAAAGGTTATCCACTCAGATGACAGATGGCTAAAGATTTTTTACTAATATTTGTGCAAGAGAGTTTTTAGACTTTTTACAGGTCTTGTCACTAAAATAACCTTCCTTTTCCTTTTTTCTCCTTCTCGTAAGAATTTCCTTGGTTTCTAGGGCAAACTAGTAGAATACTTCCATCTCAAAAAGCACAGAGAAAGAATACAAGTCCCACCAAAATGATTTTTGTTCCCTAAGTCTAGATTTTTTACAGTTCCCTTGGGCCTTTGGAAATGAATAGGGGGAGGTTTGGGATTGGTAAACGGGATAGGTAGATTTTGAGTTGTTTCTAGAGTCATTTTCTGTTCCCATAAAGATTAAATCTGTAAGATAAGTGAGGTTGTTTGTGGTTCCTCAAAGAACTGAATTGCAAACTGAAGGGTGTCTAGAGGCTGACCTACCACCCATCCAACTATATTGTCCTCAGTTTGCTTCTTTATATTATGGAGAAGATTTTCAACTACGGTGTAAATGGAAAGATCCCTATATTCTAGATTTAGAATTGTGTGTCTTGGAATGTTTTAATAAATCCTTCCACAAAGGTTTCAGGATGATTGTTGCTGGGTACATAGTTTCATTTTAGCTTAGGGGAGAAGGAAATTCCTATCAGCTCTGAATATCAGCTTCCAACGTGGCCACCTCCGACCATAGAGTTACTTCAAACAAAAACCAAAAACATAAAAATTGTTTTCAAATAACAAGGCTTCAGGCTTCAGCTAACAATAGTAAATACTCCTGTCAGCATTTGAACAACCCCTTGGACTCAAGTGGCATCTACAGAGAGGGTACAAAAGATACAAGAATGGAGCCATTCCCAAAGATAACCAAATGACAGACTGAGACAATTGCCCTGAGAGTGGGCAATGGTGGTAGGATCCTAGCAGCAAGTGGAGTACGGCCCAGCATTTCATCCCACATTGCTGTCCAGCCAAAGGGGATGAAACCTGCATTTCTGTTTGACCATATTTTGAGGCTTCAGCCTGATGGCTGCCAAGCCAAGTTCTTAGGACACAAAATGAGACAACAAGAAGGCAATAGCTGTCTATGGGAGAGTAAGGATCAACAACCAGTGGGTCCCTGAAAGGAAATTCACAAGTCACAATTGAAAGATCCAATTCTTAATGTTTTTCCCCTGCCAGTATGAATTTGAAAAGGAAAAATGTAGAATTTTACTTTCCTCCCCCAACTAGGCACTACAGACAGAGATCTGGGAGAGCTAAGGTGGATAAGAATTCTTACCCCTTTCTGGCTTCTGCCAGTTTTCCCAGGATCCTGTCTGCAGGCTCTGGAGCAAGTGGGGTGCCCCAGCAGGTCTCATGCTGGTCAACCGAAACTATAGAGAAGGGAAAGTACTTTTCCCTCTATCCCTTATGGTGAGTGCTTGGCTGAGACCCCTTTTTCTCTGGGACCCCTCATAAATGGATAAGCTTATCTAGGTTAAAAGTCCTCCACAGTGCTCACTGCAATTCAAGTCTATCTTTGATAAGATTTGCAATTCAAGATTATTTTTGATACGATTAACCAAGCATATACAAATGATCCTCAGTTGAAACATTTTCCGTTTCAGGCACAACTGCTTCATAACCCGCTTTTCTGATCTCTGATTCAGGTAATGCCACTGCAGTCTACATGTGAGCAATCCTGCATTCCACCTTCTTCCTACTTCTCTGTAAGCCACTCATTTCTGCATGCTTCTTCAATATTGCTGGAACCGTTTCTCCTCTCCATACTGTTTGCTACTGCCCTAGGTTGGATCATTTCCCCACGTGGGTCATGTGCTCCGGTCATACTGAATTCCTTGCTTTTCTTCAGACTAGCTGTAGATCTTTGTTCCTCTGTGTTACACCTCTTCATTTTATCTGCTTTGTTTAATCAGCTTGTATCAGTCTCTCTGGGATGGAAGCCATAACTGACTTCTCCAGTAAGCTTCCCACTCCTTTGTCTTGATTCTTGTGGTACTTTGTACATATTTCTAAGACATTATAGCTATTACTACTGTGCTGCCTGTGCTGATTTCTATGTGTGTGTCCTCAGGATCTTGAGACTCTTGAGAGTTGGGACTTTATTTTACTATCTCAGTATCCCTGAAGCATTACTAAACAGTCATATTTTCTCTAGCTTTATAAGTGTTGCTATCTTGTGGCAAATTTCTGTCTAATCCATTCAATGTAGCCTTAAGATGGAAGGCTCTAGGTTCCAGGCGTCAGCACATGCCTTCAGGGCAGGAGTCGGTTGAGTACCTGTTTATTACATGGACTCCTACTTCTTCTTGATTCTGTGGCCTCTGAGGACCTCTTTTACTGTTCATATTTTTAGCTATTTACTTAAAGAGTCTTTCTTCTTTATTCCAAATCATCTCACATTAGTGTTTTGTCTGGAAGGATTTTTCAGGATATCTTGTTCTCTGTATTGCCAGAGGCCAAAGCCTCCTCCATTTGGCAAGGAGAAACAATTTGCTTTAAAGAACATTTCCAGATTCTGAGAGGAACTATTACTATAAAATTTTTTTTGTGAGTATGAACAGGGAGAGGAGGATGGCAAAGAGAAGTTTAGTTTTATGTGGTCTTGATAGGCTTTACCAATTAAAATATTATATCTAGCATGGAATATTTTTCAGAGATGTAGCCTACCATTTTTTGCCTATAACAAATAGTAAATTCTTCAGAATTAACCAACTAATGGTAATAGCCCAGAAGACAAGTTTTTAAAAACATTTATATAATCCTTACCATCTGCCAGCCACTATTTTAAGATGTTTACAAATATCAGCTCATTTAATATTTATATATCTCGATGAAGTAGGTAGTGTTATAACAGATTGATTAACTGGGACATGGAATCATTAATTAAGTACTGATTATGATTATGTGGCAAGTATTTTGCTACCTGCAGAGGTAAAAAATATGAATAAGACATGCTTTCCTTCTTCCAATTCTCACTTCTAGAATCTAGCACAAAGTTTCCTGGGATGGCAGACGTGGCTTCCATTGAACAGAGGGACACCTCTGAAGGAACTTCCTTACATAAACAGTTTGGGGTGGGAAGTGTGAGTGAAAAAGGTAAATATATACAAAAGAAAGGAAGCAGGGAGATGGATAATTTGACCATTTGCTGATTTATTCTTATTTTACCTATACTGGTGCCCTATTTCTATTTTCTGGGACAGTTTTCCTCTGCTCTGGACACTGCAGATAACATGTGAATGTGATAGATAAGTTTGAGCATGTTAGGTTCAGAGAATTTATTTATTTATTTATTTATTTATTTATTTATTTATTTATTTATTTATCCATCCATCCATCCATCCATCCATCCATCCATCCATCCATGAGGGACACACACACACACAGAGAGAGAGGCAGAGGGAGAAGCAGACTCCATGCAGGGAGCCTGATGTGGGACTTGATCCTAGGTCTCCAGGATCAGGCCCTGGGCTGAAGGTGGCGCTAAACCGCTGGGTCAGCCGGGCTGCCCCTCCTTTTTTTTAAATTTAAAGACCGTATCTATTTATTCATGAGAGAACACAAAGAGAGAGAGGCAGAGACACGGGCAGAGGGAGAAGCAGGCTCCTGACAGGTAACCTGATGTGGGACTCCATCCCAGGACCTTGCGATCACAAATCACAACCTGAGCCAAAGGCAGAGACTCAACTGTTGAGCCACCCAGGCACCCAGTTTCAGGGAAATTGATGAGGAAGGAAAAAGAAGATGGCACATCACAGAGTTCATTAATTGTCATTTTTCCTGTAACTTCAGTGAAACAAGGAAAGTAAAATTTCTGACTGTTCTAAAGTAATAAGTCAAAAGATTATCTGCAGTGTAAACATGGCTGCTTTGACTTCTCATTCCAGTTTGTATAATCAACTTGTATGCCACCTTGAACAATTTGTGCTTGGGCACTTTTTTCACTACCTAATTCTCAGAATTGTAAAATAAAAGAAAAACTAAAATGAAGTCAATCAAAATATCAAAAACTAAAGCTGATAAAGAAAATATAGACTTTATGAGTTTTTAGATTATTGTTAGTTGAAAATTTTGTGTTTTTGTGAATACTCTCAAGTCATGTGAATATTTCCAAATCCACAAAATTTGCTCTTCATTTAGAGCTGACTCAACTAGTTCAGAATCAGTAATATACGTTCTTAGATTCCTCTTTAAGTACCAGGAATAATTCTATGTTCCTCTTTCACCTGGCTTCCTTTCCTTTTATGACAAATATCATGTAGAAGACCATTAAGTTGTATTTTGGTGAGATAAAACATTCATGTAAATTGATTTAATTAGAAGAACACAATTACTGAATTGATTTTTGTACTAAAGAAAATATTTGTCATTGCACTTGTACATCATATTGGAAAAGTTTTCAGTTAGCAGTAATCGCACCTCAGATAAACCTCATTGGCTGTGATACTTCCACTGCATGAAACTTGTATGTTGTATTAGAAACCACACAGAAAAATTCTAGAAAAATGGAGAAAAGAATTAGGCCAAGGCTTGCAAAGAAATATATATTAAAATAACATTTTTAAAGGGCATATTAGTAACAAGAGTTATAGGTGAGATGAAACAAAATGAGAGCAGTAGATCTTAATATTCAGGAAAGCTAATGGAACTCAAGTTCACATCATTATAAAAGCATTTCAAAGGACCAGAAATCCACCCTACTTGGGGCTTTGTGCATGATTCTGAACCTTATATGACAGGAATGGTAATGAAGCATCAATAAAGACAGCCATGATGATAAAAGATCTTTAGGTCATAGATCCTTGTGGAGATTAAAAATATAAGGTCAGTGCTCATTCTCGAGAGTGAAATGAAAGGTGAACATGATGAACGTGAATCAAGTTTGGAAGACAGAAAATGTATATGAAAGGAAAGTGTTCAAGGATATAATAGTTCAAAAGCAAGAGGGCATGCAATAGAACAAAGAAGGGACTGATGTTTAAGGAATATTATTTTTTTTAAAGATTTTATTTATTTATTCATGAGAGACACAGAGGGAGAGAGAAGCAGAGGCACAGGCAGAGGCAAAAGCATGCTCCAAGCAGGGAGCCTGACATGGGACTTAATCCTGGGTCTCCAGGATTACACCCTGGGCCGAAGGCGGTGCTAAACTGCTGAGCCACCCGGGATTCTCTTAAAAAATATTATTGAGAGAGCGAAGTTTAGATATGGAAATAATGGAAATAGAGTGGAAATAATGACCAAAGGTGGCCATGGAATTTTCCATTTAGGAAGAAGGAATTTATTAGATATTTAATAAAATCACATAACAGATTGGAAGGTGTTGTAAGGATGACCTGGATGTTCCTTCATGAAGAACTTATTTTATGTCTTGGAGTATATGTTATAGGTAGCTTGCTCAGAGGTAAAAGATCACATCTATTGGGCAGTTGATAGTATGTTTAATGCTGCATCTAATTCATTGCTGACAATCAATCACTTGTTGTATATGTGAAATCACATTTTGAAATTTTTATTTACGAGTATTTATATGCTGGTGAAACCTCCAGAAACTTGTCATTGGAAGGGTTACAGGGTGGATCAGTTGGTTAAGCATCTGCCTTCAGCTCAGATTATCATCTCAGGGTTCTAGGATGGAACACAGGAGCCTCTGTGTCAGGCTCCCTGCTCAGCAGGATATTGGCTTCTCCCTTTACCTTCACCTCCCCCCCACCCCCCCGTCTCAGGCTCACTCGCTCTCTAATAAATATAATGTTTTTTTTTAAAAAACGTGTCATTGGAGAGCATTACATTTGGCTAGCTATATAAAGAATCAAAAGACAAACATAGGGTCTACCTAGGTAGATCTGGGAGGAGACCAAATGTTAATTTATTCCAATTGAGTACTTTCTTTGTTAAATGGAAGTATACTATATGTACATGAAACTTCCATTTCCCTGAGCTATACCAACTTAAGGGTAAAAATGTCCTTATGGTAATCACAGTAAATTGTGTGCTTGGGTTTTTTTTTTTTTTCCCCTGGATTTTTTACCGCTTACTATTTCATTCTTCCATTACCCCTTGTATCTCTTCTATAGATTTCTGGACATCTGTGGGGCCAGAAATGTATATGTGATCTCACAAAGATGTCTTTTTAGTTGCTATGTAAAGCTTTTCCTAGCTGCTTCTGGTGTCCACAGATTCCACTAGGCATGGCCATTGGGCACCACCACCCAGTGTCAATGCTGCTCTTGGATGTCCTAACGCAGTCCCTGCTATGTGGGACCTCAGTGAAACATGGGCATTCAGCCACACTCGGCCCCCCTCCCACAGATGAGGGAGGATGTCTCTCTCCCATGTTGAGTTTTGTTTTGTCATGTGGATACCAAACTGGTGCTGCTTGGTTTTGATAGCTTATTTAGGTTTTAGTGAGAAGATCATATATATATTGATTTAAACCTAACTTGGATTGAGTTAATGGGCCAGGATAGATGGTCTATGATAAATACTTTGCTTTCTCTTTCCTGATGACTAATGTTATCTGGCCAAGTTATTTATATTCTTTGGATGCATTCTTTCCTGAGGGACTTGCTTCTCAGTCCCGAATGCAAATATATTTCTATATTTCTTCCTCCACCCCTTTTCCCAAATCTGTGAGAAAAATTTAGACATATCGGAAGCCTGAAAATGAGCCACTTAAATAGAAGCTAGGAGATCAGGTTGAGTGCAGAATCGTAAAAAATGAAACAAAACAAACAATAAGGAGAAGAGGTGGAGGACGAGTAGAAGAGAAAGGCAAGGCAAAAGAGAAAAAAAAAAAAAGCAAAGAGTAAGTGAGTCTCCCAGTCTGCTTTCCTCCCTTGCTCAGTATGTGGTCTTTCAATATTCTGACTCTGATGTTTCTTTGTTTAATTAACATTTCCCTTCTCTTGGTATCAAAATCGATGTTTCTTATCAGATGGTATCAGTTGGAACCCAACGCAATCTTTACATTTTACACTTTATACAGTAGATGCGATTTCAGGGTTCAAAATGAAATTAAGTTTTGAGCAGTGATAAGCTTACAGGCATCTTGTTTGATTCTCTTTAGAGAGAATGCCAGAAGTGTCCCCTTATGGTTTCTGAAGAGGAAGAAATTCTCTTTGCAGGTCTTTCCAATTCTCATTGGCCCCTGCCTTGTGCCATAATATTTTTGTTGGTGGCTGGCTACATCTTTACAATATAAATTTCCATGGCATAAATTTCTTTTCCCTGGGCCAGTAAGTTGCTGTTTTAACCCAGTTGAGCAGATCATTTTCACAGATGTTTGTTTCAGTGACATCAACAAAACCTGTGAGCTACCAAACACTGTCAGAGCCTGACTCTGTGTGGACTGTGGTTCCTTTAATCTCTGGAAGGTAGGGCTGCACAGCCTCGCAGGCAGGGTGAGACAAGCCCCCAATGCCAGTACACTGGGCAATTTCTAAGGCTAGGCTAGCTTTCAATTCTTAAAGAGAGGAAGCATGTCATATTTATTTGCTGATGAGCATAGCTGAAGAGTGAACATTGGCTATAAATAGCAAAATTAAGCAGGGTGTGGCAAGTTTCTATGACATCATTAAAACTTGCTGGAGAGGACGTTCAGCTTTAAAATTGAAATAATTATAATTCACATACTATTGTAATGTATAATACAAAGTGATCTCTTGTACCCTGTGCTTGGTTTTCCCCAATGGTAACAACTGTTGTGTAAAAACAACCAGGATATTAACATGGATGCAATCCACCTATTCCTATTTCTCCAATTTTACTTATACTCTCACACATGCATTTATGTGTGTGTATTGTATGTATGTGTGTATATTAAGTTCTACGCAGTTTTATCATCTTATAGGTTCACGTATCCACCACCACAGTCAAGATACCGAACGGGTCCGATATCACAAGGCTCTCCTGTGTTACCCTTTTATAACCACATCTACTTTTCTTCTGCTCCCACATTTTCCTTAAACAACCACTAATCTGTTTCTTATTGCTATATTTTGTCAATAAATATAGTCATGCCTGAGGTAACTTTTTTTTTTAATGGACTTTATTTTTTAGAGCAGTTTTAGGTTCGCAGCAAAGTGGAGCAGAAAGTCCAGAGAGTTCCCATATACTTCTGCTTTAACCCATGCATAGCTTCCCCATCCAGAATAGTATGTATATTACAATAGATGAATCTGCACTGACAGACACATCATTATCACCCTAAGTCCATAGTTTAGATATTTTATATCAGGTTCACTTTTGGTGTTGTATATTCTGTAGGTTTTCACAAATGTAAAATGACATATATCTACCATTACATTATCCCACAAAATAATTTCACTGTCCTAAAAATCCTCTGTGCTCTCTTCCTGTTCCATCCTTCTCCCCCTCAACCCCTATGACCATGGATCTTTTTACTGTTGCCATAGTTCTGCTTTTTCCAGAATGTTATGTAGTTGGAGCCATACATGTCATAGTTGGATTTCAAATTGGCTTTTTTCACACAGTGTAATTCTCTCGAGATTCATCCAGATTGTTGTGTGTATGAATAGTTTTGTCTCCTTTTTTAAATTGCTGTAGTATCCCATGATATGGATGTACTGCAATTTGTTTAAACTTTCACCTGTTGAAGGACATTTGGACAGATTCCAGTTTTAGGCTATTATGGTTAAAGCTGCTGGGTACATTCATGTACAGGTTTTTGTGTGGATGTAAATTCTCCTTTCTCTGGGATAAAGGCCCAGGAGTACAATTGTTGGATTGTATAGGAGTTGAGTGTTTGGTTTTATAAGAAACTGCCAAGCTGTTTTCTAGAATAGCTGTATCATTTTATGATTTCACCAGCTATATATGAGTGACCCAGTTTCTAAACATATATAACTATGCCAGCCATTGGTGGTGTCGCTTTTTTGTTTTAGCCATTCTGATAGGTGTGTACTGAAATTACACTGTGGTCTTACCTTGTATTTCTCTAATGGATAGTGATGTTGAACATCTTTTCATGTGCTCATTTGCCATCTGTATATCCTCTTTCTATGGGCTTTCATAGAACAAAAATTTAAATTTTGATGAGGTCCAGTTTATTAGTTTCTCATCTTATGGCTTTTGCTTTCGGTGCCAATCGAAGAATTCTTCCTAGCTCTAGATTCCAAAGCATTTCTCTGCTGTATTTTTTTCCTAATAGTTTGGCAGTTTCAGGTTTTATATTTAAGTCCATCATGTATTTTGAGTTAATTTTTGTACATTGCATAAGTTTTAAATAAAGGTTTATTTTTTTTGCCTATGGTGTACAATTGCCTCATCATCATTTGTTGAAAAGGGTATTCTGCTTTCATTGAACCGTTTTGTAACTTTGTCAAAAATCAGTTAAACATATTTATAAGGATCCATTTTGGGTTCTTTATTTTGTTTGAATGATCTATGTGTTAATTATAAGATAGTCTCTTTTTGTGATATAATTTGATGAGTGCATGTAC